ACAATTCTTTTTAAGACCAACACATCTCTGATTTACATTGTTGCCAAAAAAGTCACATAATGTGAAGTGAAGCGTTAACACAAATAGCACTGGTCTGAGTGCTCTAGAATGAGATAATAAAGAACATGGTGACTACACAAAAGAAAAAGACGTTTGAAGAAATGAACGAATCATGTTTATTCTATTTCAAATATCTGTGCAAATGTATACAAGGGGTATTTATGCTAGCAGTTCCAAATTTTTAACTGATAGACTAGAGGGAAGGAACACCCACTACCAACTCTTGGGTTATTGTAGCCGAAATGTGGGATTTGGCCATTACTCTTATAATAAACTCACGATTTCAACATGTGGAGCACGATTTTGCAGCAATAGGACTCTAACTATAGACCCCCAAATTCACAGTCGGGCACGCTAACTATTAGGACATGTTCGGCCTACTAATAATAAAACAATGATTGTTCTACAACATGAATGTTGTGTTAGTGCAGAACTACACAAGAGACTAACTGCACTTTTTTCGTTAAGTATGTAAACTTACCGCTGACCTAACCGGGGGCACTACATGAATGTTTACGAAAGTTTCTTTAGTAAAAGGCATAAGGTAAGCTAAATTATTTTAATTAACAAGTTCACAAAGTGGATGTAATATTAAACAAAAGTTTCAAATTTGATGATAAAGAACTTGTTTTAAGGCTAATAAAACTTAGAGATTGCTTGAATGGGTAACGAAGAAACTTTTATTACAATTTTAACACATTAACAAATGTACAACGTTTAGATAAGATTTCGTCATCATCAGGTACAAATAACGTAAGTTTACCTAGATAGGAATGTATAGACGTCGCTGCAATAACGTGCAGAAAGTGGATGTTTGTGTTCTTGCTGTGCCTAAAGTTTTCTTTGTCTTTTGTGACGAAGTAGGTGATTTAAGTTTAAGAGTTAAAAACTTAGTTTGGTGGTGTCTTTTTATTTTTCTTTCGAAGTTAAGTGCACAGTACAGTGTTTTGTTCATTATTCACTTGAAAAGTGTGCTTGAACTTATGCTTACTTCAGATGAAAGTTGTGCTAAGCCTAACGTACAGCTTAATAGTAATACATGTACAAGTTAGTCTTAATCAAAGTTTATGGCTAAGTATAGTAAACTAGCGGTTTTGAATTAATCGAGTTTTGAATAATCGGGACTGTCAGTGCAACTGTTAGTGTTTCTAAACGTGGCCAAACATGAAAGCCGATATATAACATTAAAGTAGGTCAGGTTTGGTTATTAATATTAGTAGTAGCATTAGTATTACTGTTGTATCATCTAGGTGTATTAATAAAATTCGAGTGTACTGATGTGTTGGGTATCTTGTGTTTTATCTCAAGAGTAACTTGTAATTTTGTAAGAGTTGAAAATTTGTTTTATCAGAACACGTCTTTTTATTAATTTTAATACAACAATAGTTAAGTTAGTAAAATCTGTACAAGTTTTAAAAATCTATTGAATGAAGGGCATACTTGCCCTGATGATAGAAACTATAATTTGCAAAATTAGTAATAGCATTAACTTTTAAGCAAAAATAAACTACTTTGTCATATGACTTAGTAAGCTATGTCTGAGATTTACAAGTTTAATTGTTTTTGGTTCATGATATGATGGCTTTTCATTTATTACTTTAGTACTTAGTATGTTTTATTAAACCATAACATAAAATATGGAGAGCAAACAAGGTGTCTGCTGGTTCTTCAAGGCTGTTCTTGCATACCTATCTCTAAGATATAGTAAAATGAACTATTTTAAGACCACCATTTATTTTACAGGAGTTCATTGGCTCCTTCTTAATATTTTGTAAGGGCAGGCCCCTACTATTGCTGATGGCAACTCATTCCATAAGGTAATTATCCTGTTATAAAAAAAACAAAACCAAAAACTGCAGACTAGCCCACCTTTTTCCAAATATTAAACTTGTGTCCTCAGGCTCATGTCTTCAGGATGTAGTACAAAGACATTTATCCTATGATCCACAGGATAATCTTGAACCTTAAAATTTTTGGGCTCTTTGTAAGGTTAAACCTTTTTTATGTCTGTCCTCATAACAAATTTCAATAAGGTCACCTCCTAGCCTTACTCCACATTATCCAAGTGACCTTCCTCAGAACCCTTTTCAGTAAGTCATTCTTTTTAAGATAAGGAGACCAAAACTGTACTCAGTGCCATAATTGAGACCTTAATGGTGATTTGTATGGAAAGTCAGTTAACTATTACAATTATAAGCAACACATTTAAAATACATTCTAAAAATCTGTTAGCTGTACTAGTAGCAATAGAACATTGTAACGATAGCATGTGTTATCTACCACTTTACTGACACTGTTAAGCGGGTTCCCATGTATATAATATGTATGACCAAGTTATGATACGCATAAACTCCTTCATCATGGGCTTTTTTCCTGGGACTGACCTTGTAACCATTTTGTGCTTGTTATAGTTTTCATGCTATAACTTTTAAATTATTAGGCGATGAAATTTGGCAAATTATCAGTAAACATTACAATGCTTTAATATGCAAAATAACAATCTTTTTTTATTAAGTCTTAAGGTTTATAAAGCAATGTTTTTCTCATGTCTTTTTTTTTCTTTTTTGCACATTGACTATCTATCATGTAAAGTAATATTCATTTTAAGATAAAAAATACTTTTATGCATCAGAAAATTTTGAAATTTCACATGCAAAATCTTTATAATGTCCAGATAGTTATCAAATGTTTTTTACAAAAAACTTTATATTTTATCTGTTATTTTCAGTAATTAATCTCTATAGATTCGGTAGATTTGACCGATCTTGCAACCACCATAAAAATTAGGAAATAATT